GAGAGAGAGAGAGAGAGAGAGAGAGAAGGGCTAGTATCTCAGTATGGAGATGGAGGGACCACACACCTTTTGTTCTGGGCTGGCTCCTTAGAAACCGCTCTATGGCCCCACCTCAGAACTGTGGAACCCCAAGGCAGTCCATAGGCATGTTAAGGTTTGAGAAGTCTTATCTCAGAGCAAAGTATGCAGTATTTGGGGACATAAATCACAGAACAAAGTATAGCCTTTGGCCTTGGAAAGCTAGGCCCCAGGTCTTTGTGGGAGGGCTGCTGTGATCCTAGTGACACAGAATACATGGACAGATCTCCGGAGGGGCTTTTGCCGGAGGGCCCCACCTCCTTCTAATCTCAGGACCAAAGCCAGGACACTGGTACAGCTCTCTGTCCACCCTTGAACTGTCACGCCAAGAGGTGTTGATTCACTGCCTCTTCTGTCTGTCTGGGCTCAGCCTCACCCACAACCCTTCCAACACGCCTGAAAACCTGATGTGAACCCCTGTTTGCCCTTTTCCTCTCCGGAATCTCCAGGCCTACTTGGTACAGGTGCTCCATCAGTAAAGGATGTCTGTCATGAATTTAGAAAATGACTGTAGAAAAGACCAAAGTTCTGGATCACGCAGGAACGAACCTTCAATAGATGTCCGGTTCCAAACCTATAGATTGTCCAAGTTACACATAACTTACTAGATGCGAGTTCATAGAACGACTGGGAGGAAGCCACAGTTCTCATCTGTCTGTGGTAAACAGGGATTCCCCGGAGCCCAGCACAATCTACACCTTTACACACTTCCGAAGTCTCCCTGAGATCCTGAAATGTGCATGATGCAAAACACAGGACTCAGTCCCCGCTCACAGATCTGACAAACTCTGAGCCAGTACACACAGGTCAACGTACATCTACGGAACAAAAGGCTCATATCCACTCCTGGGACACATCAGTGCGTTTTCAGAAGTCCAAGGACCCTCACCATCCTACCGTAACACCAAGTACTCAGAGGCAAACAGGCTCCACTGCCCCACCCAGTCCCAGGAGGAGCCCATGGACAGGTACCTTGCCCGTCTGCTCCTGAGCACAATGGGGTGAGGGGATGTGCTCAACTCAACAGTTATTCTACACATGCCTTTACACCTATTTTATAAACGCACATTGATCTCTAAGCCCACTCCCACCGAGGAGGGCCTCTGAAACGGTCCAACTTTATGGGAGCACACAGCCTCCCCTCTCTCCCTTGGAGCGACTGGTGGGTGTGAACAGTCGACTTTGCCGTTAACAGGCCACCACCTAGCCACAGTGTCACCAGGGCTCCTTAAATGGCACAATGGAGGACAAGATACTTCAAAGAGTTGCCCACCTGGTATACACACATCAGAAAGGAAGGTGGGAAGGTGAGTCAAGCACGAACAGGGGCTATGGGAAGGTGGGCATGAGAACAATACAGTCGCTGAAGGACCCAGAGCAGGTGCAGCACTCCGGGGCAGGCCCAGGCAGAGCCAGGCAGCCGCTGGCCTACTTGGGAGTAGATGTCAGTGCAGAAGGGGCCCTCAGAACTCAAATGTCCACGCCCCAGCTGTCCCCTCCTGTCCTCACGTTCTACGGCCAGCGATGAAGAGGCAGGCTTCCAAACCCCCTGCAGGCTTGTGTTCTACGCCCTGGCGGTGCTGCAGAAAGTGTGAGTGGAGGGCTGTTTCTCTGGAGCCCTCACCCTCCCGGCCCGCAGCATGATGGGAGAGTGCTCCTGGAAATAAGGGATGAGGGTTGAGTCACCAAGTGGGCCTCAGAGCTGGCCCTCGCGCTGGTCAGGAGCAGGGAAAACTGACTTCTGGAACCACGCCCCCCCAAAACTACAAAGTACCCCCCTTGCAACATGCCCTGGGGTGTGCCCCCCGTATACCCTGATGCACAGTATGGCTTTTGTTCTTTTACATCGGTCCTAGTGCATCGCGCATCGCGCATCGGAGCCAATCACAGCCTGGTCCTGGCTGGGTTGCAGCCACTGTGCCAACCCTTCAAGCCGAGGGGCTCCCTCTTCCGTGCTGACCCTCTGCATGACCAAGCATGATGCCCTTCTCCGGGGACAGGGCCTCCTGATGACACGTCCACAGCACGTGAGACACACCGTGCCATGCTCACTTCCAAGGACATTCTGGCTGTACTTCTGTGGAGACAGATTTCTTCCCGGGATAGACTCAATGTTCTCCGCCCCCGCTAACATGCCTCAGTTCTTCTTCCGTCTTCCCAACACACTGTGCCGCTTTCACGTGTGGAAGAGGCAACTGAAGGCACTGAGACTTGAGTCAGACACACTTCAGTCTTCAAGGTGACACCTCTGCTCTCTAACACTTTAATGTGCACTTGGACTACTGCCTCCACGGGCACTGCTTGTGAACCCAAGTAAAATTAAATCCTTCTTTCCTCCACGTATCACAAGGCCGCTTTCTCTTTCCTCCACTACAAGAAAGGGGGTAGAGCTTCAACACGTCAATGAAACAAAGTCCTTCCCCGTGCCTATAGGGCCCTGATTGGAGGAAAGGTCAGAATGCTAGCACGCTGCCCGCTCCTTCATGGACACACCCCATCTGACCCCCACAGCAAACCTGGGAAGCAGCTTATCCTGCTGTACGGCGGGGGTAACACTGAGGCTCTGCGCCGTCCAATCACTCCCCAACCACAGAGCCAGCATGGAACAGTCTTGCCTCCAGGACCCAGGCCAACGGGCCCCAGATTGCCGTCTTTCCATCGTCACACCTTGATCCCTTCACATCCAGGAGAGGGTTTCTGGAGGCCAAAGGGTAGGATTTTCTTGGTTTAAACGAAAATTAAAAGAAGACCAACTTATTTTTTGAGTCATCCAACAGTGAAACCATTTATCCACTAAAGCTCACTACCAGTGCACCAGTGTTCAGTCCTATCAACCCTACAGCACAGAGGAAAACGGTTCCTTTAAGCAGAAAGCCTTTCTCCCTGGTGGGGCCGAATAAGCAGCCAGCCCATTACTGCACCCACTCCGTACCACTCGGTTTCCTCTAGAGGAAAGTTACCGCGTAACAGATGTCCCTGCTCGTCCCTCCCCTTTCTGCGCTTTGGGAAGGGTCAGTTTCCCTGAAAGATCATAGCGGAGGCCCCCACCTGATGGAAACACAGTGTTTGGTTCCCCACTGTGACTTATCTGATCCCAGTAGGTGAAGCAATACTGCCACAAACAACAGCTGGGACAGCTCAGAGCCACAGCTTGGCTCTGGGATGAGGATGGGGGTGTGGGAGAGCTCAGTTCCCGGGGGTGGGGTGAGGGGGGTAGGAGGTGTGTGTGTGTGCAAGTAGGCTCCATCCTACACCGGTCCCAAAATCACCAGTGGGGTGGGGCAGGGCTGGGCCAGGTGAGTGCTAAGGCTTCTAAAGCTCCCACTGACAACTCACGATTCCTTCAGAAACAGCTCTTTGGAGCCTGCTCATGAATCTACCCCACCTCATTTCCATATCCAGTTTAGAGACCCTGCTGCACCAATCCGAGACACACATCCCTCTCC